AAAGGAAAGGAAAGGAAAGGAAAGGAAAGGAAAGGAAAGGAAAGGAAGGAAAGGAAAGGAAAGGAAAGGAAAGGAAAGGAAAGGAATTCTGTGACTATGCCCACAGAACCAGTTGTTAAAAAAATTGAATCCCACCCCTGGGGAGGGGGTCAAGTATATGATCAGTCTTGAGTGTCTTCAACTCCACACAAGAAATCTAAGTCTAAGCCCACCTTGAATTCCACTGACTTTTATCGACCACCAATTCATTTTGACTGTTAGGACCTAGTTCTGATTCTTGTAGAGCAGGGGTGCCAACCTGGATTTCACTAGGGGCCTCATCAAGGTGGTGTCTGACTTTGGGGGGCCGGGGGGGGGCATGGCTAGGGTGGGCATGGCCAGCATGATGCCACTTATATCAGGGGTGCCTGTGGTGTCCCAAGCACTCTGCCAGCAAAAACAGGCTCTCGGGCTCCATTTTCAGCCACAACTGGCAGAGGGCTGCAGGAGGCCTTCACGGCTGAAAATGGAGGCTGGAATGGCTGTGTGCAGCCCTCCAAGCTCCATATTCACTGGCAGAGGCACCATGGGCTGGTTCTTTGCTGTTTCCAGGGTGGCCCCACAGGCCAGATCTAACCACCCCACAGGCTGGATCTGGCCCCTGGACCTTGAGTTAGACATCCCTGTTATAGAGACAACATACATACAATAAACCTTTGAACTCCATGGACTCCTGATTTCCAGTGCTTGACTATCTGTCTGTCTGTCTATCTGTCACCTATCCTATTATATCTCTCTATCATCTCTGTCTCTCTTTCTCTCTCATCATCTACCTATATCTATCAAACTATCATCTATCAATCAATCAATCTATCATCTATCTATCATCTATCTATCTGTCTGTCTATCTATCTAATATATCTCTATCCATCCATTCATCCATCACCTGTGTGTGTGTGTCACTCTACATCTATCTATCTATCTATCTATCTATCTATCTATCTATCTATCTATCTATCTATCTATCACCTATCTGTTTATCATCTATCTGTCATCTATCATCTCAATCTGTAAAATATATTGTATTTATTTAAAACATTCATATATCCCTCCCCATCGTCGACCAAGATGTGAGTATCTCCCAGTCAAGAATTAAAACAGAATAAAAACCACATTAAAATTGTTATAACCATAAGCATTAGAAATAAAAACATGTCTGCCAAGTCAAACTTCCAAAATGCAGTTATCTCTCCTGTCCCAGTGCTTGGGGGAAAAGCCAGGTCTACGGTGCTTTTCAGAAGACTAAAAGGGTAGAGACCCACCAAACGTCAGGGGAAACATGTTCCATACGGCAGGGGCTGCCACAGAAAAAGCATTCTTTCTACTCATAGGCACTCCTGCTTAAGCAGGGGGCTGGACTAGAAGACCTCCAAGGTCCCTTCCAGCTCATCCTATTGTCAGGGTTCTGGTGATTGCCCTAATTAAATCATGAGCCTCGAGCCAAGCTTCAAAAAATTCAAAAGATTTATTAGGAGCAACATGTCGGCATTAACCTAAATGAAGCTAACTGGCATATGTAATTTACAGTCACCTGTGACCCTGTTCCCCCCACCCTTGGTGTATCACAAATCAGATTCTCTAATGAAGCACGTTCACAGGCCGGGTGTCATTAATACTATTCTCCAATTAAAGAAGATCCAGTAGCCTAGCTACAATCTTTGTAAGATAAGTGTGGAATGTGCTTCTGGTTTTAAACTCCTGTACTGCTCCTTCAGATATCCCTCCCTTGTTTACGGCAACTCGAAAAATGTTTTATGAGTTGACTTCTATTCTATTCTATCTATCATCTATATCTCTATCTATCCAGCCCGCCAGCCAACGATGTAGGAGATGTCCAGACTGAGCCTGAGGGAAGGGTCAAATACATCATCAGTTTTGAGTCCTTTCATCCAGGGGTGGGATTCTACCGGTTCACACCTATTCTCTAGAACTGGTTGTTAACATTCTAAGCAGTTCAGAGAATCGGTTGTGAGAAGAAATTACTGGCCTAATCCTGTAAGGAAAGCAGGAAGGAAACATTCTGGTGTTGCTTACAGAAACTGCCTCTCTGTTAACCCTTATTACATTCTTGGCAGGACTAGACTTCCTGTCTCAGGAACTTCTCTGGAGTTTCCCCCCCCCCTTTGCTGGTACTTTGCTTGTGTGGAGTGACCATTCAAAGTTACAATGGCACTGAAAAAAGTGACTTATGACCATTTTTCACACTTATGACTGTTGCAGCATCCCCACAGTCATGAGAGGCCAGGCAAGGAGATGCGTGCCTCAATGTGAGTGATATTGAGTTGGCCACGCCCAGCCAATAACATAACCACCAAGCCACATCCACCCAATCACATGACCACCAAGCCACGCCCACCAACTAAGCCACGCCCACAGAACTGGTTGTTAAAAAATTTGAATCCCACCTCTGCTTTCATCCCCACGAGACATCTAAATCCAACTCATCTTGAATTGCACTGAATCTTATCAACCACCAATTTGCTTTAACAGTTAGGAGTTTTTACAAATCCTATTGCACCACGCAAAGTGTAATGCATCTCCTTTCTTCCCCAACTGTGCATTTGCTGGCTACTTTGTGTATTTTTTCCAAAAAGTTTTTTAAGTTTTTATTTTTACACGTCTTTTCACGTGAGCAACATGATTCTGGATTATAACACTTGTACATAGTCATGCTTTCATTTCCATCAATCTTATATAATATCACCTCATATCATCCATTTCACTCATCTTTAAATAAGTTTCCATTTCATATTTCAATTCATTAATTCAATATCAATATTATTTCATCCATACATAAATTTTCAGTTCTTTATCCCCTATTATTTCCATATTCAGCTTACCACCTATTTTATTTTACATTGTGATGGAACAAAGCAGAAGCTTTTGAAAAAAAACAACAACAGTGCATTGCTGAAAAGGACCAGTAGACAAGATTAAATCAAGCAGGATATGGAGAATAATGAGAGTAATTGATCTGGCAGAGAAGAAGATACAGATAAGGGGATTTATTGTGGAAATTAGAACAGGAAAACATTTGGGCAACTCAGCAAAAGAAAAAAACTAAGCGAAACAAATGTTGATAAAAGAGTAAAAGTAAAATAAAGGTATTATACAGATCTTAGAAGATAAAATTGCCCAGAAGTTATAAACAGGATGAAGGTATGAAATTACGCACCATAATATGACTGAATAACAGAATAACATAGTTGGAAGGGACTTTGGAGGTCTAATAGTCCAACCCCATGCTCAAGCAGGAAACCCTATACTATTTCAGACAAGTGGCTGTCCAGTCTCTTCTTGAAAACCTCCACTGATGGAGCACCCACAATTTCTGGAGGCAAGCAGTTCCACTGGTTAATTGTTCTCACTGTCAGGAAAGTCCTCCTTAGTTCTAGGTTGCTTCTCTCCTTGATTAGTTTCCATCCATTGTTTCTTCTCTTGCCCATTGGGGCTTTGGAAAATAAATTGACCCCCTTCTTCTTTGTGACAGCCCCTCAAATATGGAAACACTGCTATCATGTCACACACACCCAGTCCTTTTTTTCTTTTCTTTTTCCTTTTCTTTTTCCTTTTCTATTTCATTTTGTTTCATATATTCTCTCCTCGCTGGATATGATCTATTATAAAAATAGAATAGAATAGAATAATGGTTTGGAATAGAATAGAATAGAATAGAATAGAATAGAATAGAATAGAATAGAATAGAATAGAATAGATCCCCAAACCCTAAAAACTTTAACCTTAGACTTTCTACTATTGACCTCACCTCTTTCCTAAGAGGTCTGTAGGGAGTGTGCATAAGCACACCAACGTGCCTACCATCCCTGTCCTATTGTTTCTTGTATTTTTCTTATATGTATCCATGTATTCATAACTATGTTTTTACTTATACCTATTATCTTGTAAGCAATTGACAAACCAAATAAAATAAAATAAATAAAAATAGAATATAGAATATAGAA